CCGAGTGCGCGGGGCAGGTTTGCCACGACCACGGCGCAATACCTTGGAGAAAGAGCGGGTCAGCCAGTCGATATTACAGGATCTTCCGGACGAGCTTTAGAAGCACGGTGGGTTGAAGTTTGTCGTGGTACTAGTACCTCTACAGGTGTGCAGGCAGTTGCCGACGGCTGGAAGTGGCTCCGACATGCTGTCGGGCAGGTCCTCGTTTTGCTCGCGTTGAGGATTCGCCGCAGAATCAGATGCTGATTGCACATGAGGTCTCTAGTTCCTTGGTAAATGAAGTTCCAGGTCTAGGCCTTAGCCTTCGTCATGAGAATTCCGTCAAGGCTGCAGGAGAGATAGTAGGTGTTGAGAAGATATCGAGACTGACGTCACTCTGGCTTAAGAAGGCGAGAGCAAGGAAGAGCAGGATTCCTGGACTGAATGGCGCTTAGATGCCAAGGCAGCTGGCGCGAAAGGTTTTCACAAGATCACTGCAGCCAGGAAGGTTAGGACTGCCGCCAGAGCGCAAGGTCCGCAAGGGCCAACAGCCGACACCATCGGTCAAGCAAGAAGTACTGCTGCATGGGAAACTCCGGGGTGCGCCCACTAAAACGCCGAGGGCTCGGGCCCCTGATCGCTCGTGTTGCGAGAGAGTTTCGGCCTCAGCAATGCGTCAAGTAGGAGCTAGTTTTTTCCAGAAGCACCTCTAGCAGTGATTACCAGTTCCTTCCTCGATTTGTTTTATCAATCGACGGTGCAGGACTTGGGGCGTCGGCCGCGCTCTGGCAAGCATGCGGAGCCACAGGAGTGCCCCCTAGACAATTGACGTGGGTAGTTCAACCAATGATGCCCAAGCCCAGAGAGGGCAATCGTTTAATAGTGCTGCACGCAGGCGCGCATCGAGCGCGGCAGAGATTAAGGAGACCACTGCTGGCCAACGTCGGTCGCGTCGTAGCGTCGGTGTATTTTTTTTTGTTTGGGGGGGGGCGTCTCGCGAAAGGTCAGCTGTGGGCTGTGTTTGGCTATAAGCAGCTAGGAGCGAGAGCGAGTGCAATCGATGTTAGCACTGGTCATCGCGAAATCACGCTAGGAATGGCCATCAGAGCAGGCCATGATTCCAACCGTTGCGTGGCCGATTTGCAGGCCGCGTTGCGCGACAAGCTTGCAGTAGTCTCTAGCAGCCCAGGGCTAGCCAGGGAGGCCTGTCGCGAGTTAGGCTTCCCCAGAGAGGTAGCCTTGGACAGCGTTGCCTATCTTGGAATCGATCAATCGCGCGCCAAGTTAAAAAGCCACGCCGGGGACGCGATCTATACAAATATTTGTTTTCAAGAAGATGCGTCTCAGGCTTCGGAAGCACAAGCGGTTGGCGCGCAAAGTAGCAGGATGCACCAACCGATTTTTTCAACGAGTTTTAAAGACTGGGGTTTCCGCGGGCGCTGCTTACGGCACGGAAGTCCTGGGCCTAAACGATCACGAATGGCTCCAGTTCCGACGGCCCCAGGGCCGAAACATATCCCGCAGCAAGGAGGCGCGAGCCCCAGTGCAAAAACTATCCTTTTGGGAGACGAGAGCGCTAGATCGGCATTGTCTCCCGCGTTGAAGTGGTGTCGGATGGCGCGGCAAGCTCATTCTAATGAGGGTCATGCGCTGGTTTCACTTCAGAGTTTAACGCGGTAGCGCGCATGTGGCGAGAAGCCAAAGCAAGCGAGCCTCTGTCCTCCTCGTCCTCCTTTCCCCCCTCCTCCTCCTCGCCCTCCTTCTCTCTCCCTTTTGCGGGGGGTCGGCGCGAGGGCGCGAGGTCATCTGCGCTTCGCGTTGCGCGGAGCGCGAGAGCGCGAAGCTGGGGGCCCTAGCAACCTCGCCCTGGGCACGGGGGCGCCCGCGGCCGGGCACGGGGCGCCGGCGGGGCGGCGCGGCGAAGGCGGGGCGGAGGCCCGCGGCGGGCCCCCCCCGGGGGCAGCGGGTGCCCGCGAGGCGCCCGCGAGGCGCCCGCGAGGCGGGCGCGGGGCGCCGAGCCTGGAGGTCCACGGCGGGCCCGCCCACAGTCTCTACACGCCGGTCGTTGAAAGTAGGTATTTTTGGATTCCTAGATCCCAATCTACTTCAAGCGCCTTCCTACTTCAAGAATCGACATGCTTTTGCTGTGTTTTGTTATTCTCTGGGGGGACCTGGACCCAATCTACTATATCCGCCTTCCTACTTCATGATTCTACCTACTTCTTCCGACCGACGTGTAGGCCTCCTGGATGGGGTCGGAGCAGATGGGGTCGGAGGATCGCGCCGCATCGCCGATGCATCGCCGATGCGGTTCGACGTGGGGCCCAGTTGCCCCCGCGCCGAAGTCGTCGATGCATCGCCGACGTCGCCGGTGCGTCGCCGATGCATTGGCGATGCGGCACGATCCACCGACCCCATGTACTCCGACTCCAGTGAGGAGGCCTCTACCCATGGATTTCGCAAGCCACATCAAGTCCCCAGAGTGCGAACCGACGCCCGAGGGGGGCGCCCCCTGGCCTGACGCTCCGGGCTGGATCAGGGCCGGAAAAGGGGTCTGACATCACGTCTACGGAGGTTTTAGCGAATTTGGCTCAGCCATCTTCGCGGAAGCGACGGCCAAGACTCTTCTGGTCCCAGGTTGGAGACCCCGCCGGGAAAACGGTTCCGTGTTTCGCATGGGCCCGATTTTTTCGTCGATCGAAAAAGAGAGATCGGTCTCGCGTATCTTCCGCCGCCGATGCATCGGTCAGTACCCCCGGACCCCGACCCGCAAACTTCTGCAATCCATCCTCGATCCGGGATCCTCGCTCCTGGATCCTGGATCCTCGACCCCGAATGCTCGCTCCTCAATTCTCTCTCCTCAATCCTCGCTCCTCAATCGTGGAGCCTGAAGCTCTATCCTCAAACCTCGATCATCAATCCTGGATCCTCGGTTCTCGATCGTCGGTCCTGACGTCTCGCACCTCGATCCTCAACGCTGGATCCCAAACCCTCGACGTTGGATCCTGGAGCCTCGGTCATCGATCCTCGACCGTCGATCATGTAACCTCGCTTCCCGCTCCTCGCTTGCCACCCGATCCTTGATCATAAACCTTCCCTCCTCGACCCTGGATCCTCGAAGCTCGCTCCTCGATCCTCGATCCTGGATCCTCGATCGTCCATCCTCGAGCCTCGATCCTCGCTCCTGGGCCCCCGATCCCCAGTCCCTGATCCCGGATGCTCGACCCTGGATGCTCCAGCCTCGATCTTGGTTTCTCGCTTGCCCCTCGATCCTCGAACCCTGACTCGCAGGTCGATCCTCGGGTCCTCGAAGGTCGAGCCTCCAACCTCGAAGCTGCTGGATCCTCGCCTCCTCGACCCTGGATCCTCGCTCCTCGAAGCTCGATCCTCGCTCCTCGAAGCTCGGTCCTCAGAGCTCGAGCCTCGATCCTGGAGTCTGGATCGTGGATCCTCGCTCGATCCCTGATCCTCGACCACGCAGGGAGGTCCTGCTGAAATGCCACGGTGGTGGTCATGACGACGGTGATTGTGGTACTGGCGATGGGAATGACGATGGCAATGGTGGCGGTGGGAACGTCGAGGAAGAAATCGGCCCCCCGAGCGCATTTTCACCCGCGGGACATCAGAATCGTCTCTCTCGCGCCTCCCACCTCCGTACCGCTCGCAGGCAGGTCGAGGTGGGCTCCAACTGAAAAAAGATGGCCGCATAGCCCAGGAGCCTGATTTCTGTGTGCAACCTGAATGGTTCCAGGTCGACTTGAAAATGCTCAGGTGGTCCCCGATGTATGAAATGATATGCTTCAGTGGCCTTTTCAGATTTCTGCACCGCATGGCGCTGTTCAGGTTTCTGCACCACGTGGCGTTGCTTGGGCCTCAAAATTTTCAGGGCGACCTGAACGGGCCTTCCCTGGGAAAAACCAACGCCCGAGACGCTCTGGAAGATGATTTTCATATTACACCTGGAGATTTCAGGTCGACCTGAAGATGCGGGCCCCCGTGCATGAAGCACACACTTCGGTAACGTTTTCAGGTTTCTACACCTTTCCAGGCGATTATAATAAGATTAAGGGGCCTGAACCCCCCCGAGCGGCTCCGCCTCAGTACGATATGTTGGTGTCGTGTCGACTGGCGGCGACCTCCCTGCCGGCGTTCAATGCTGAACGCCGGCGGCGGCCCAGAATCGGTCGTTGTTGAACGATCGGATGGTGCGCAAGCGGCCGATCGTTCAAGGTTGAACGATCCCCGCGGTGTCAGGAACCAACGCCCGGGTCGACACGACACGAACCTGCCGTACAGTCGGGGCCCTAAAGAAGGAACCCTTTTCGTTGGGGAGGGGCTCCGTGTTCCTTGATTGCTTCACAGTTTGCCGTGGGTTTTGCTTTGGTTTTCGATGGGAAATCGAAGTCCAACTTTTGGATCTAAGGGAGGGTTCCTTGGGGGTCAACGTTCCGACTGTACACCATTGGTGTGATTTCTGACATTGTACGGGACCCCGTGCGCCCAGCAGGGGTTCGTCCATTTGCACCGGCCCGCACAGGCACGCCGCGCGTGCTCGTGACTGCACGTCTCGCGGGCGCTGTCGCAAGTGGTCAGCGTGCCTCAGCTGGTGGTCCCCAGGGTAGTTTTCGAATACTGCATACAGTGGGGCCCCATGCCAAGAAACACCCTACCTGCCACCAGGGTGCCCTGGGCTTCTTGGGCTTCGATAGCTTTGTTGTGGGAAGCGTGACGTTCCCACAGCAAAAACAAGGGACGTCCTGGGATCTCAGGGTTGGGTTTCTCGTGGAAGGTTTCTTGTGGTCGGGCCCCTACTGAATGTCTCATTTGGCGGTCCTCAGGATGATTTCGAATATTGCCTATGATTGTTGGCCAGACCCCGCCCAGTACATGTACTCTCATCTCAGCGGCTAGACACCAGCTCGTTCCAACACCCCTCCCTCCTCCAGGCAAGCTTCATTGGATTGTTCGATCGGATGCCCTAGCTTCGAGGGGGGCCTGCTAGCAATGCCCGCTCCTGCCAGGACCGCGAGCCCGCGGATCTCCCCGAAGCCGGGGCCCGTCTCTGAGGAGGAGCTGGGTGGGTGGGAAGCGACGCGCGGAGGGAGTTGGGCTGCCGAGAGCGACAGTTCGGCCTGAGCTGCGCTGGCGGGGGCGTACGTTTCCAGATGGGCGAGCCGAACGACAGAAGGCTAGTGCTTTCAGGGCTTGGGGCGGGCGCCCCGGGAAGAGTTGCCATCCGAGATCCTTGGGCTTTCTGTGGTGATTCCTGGGTGAACGTCAATGCCGCACTTGCGAGCGCATGCTTGCGCCTAGGGCCTAGCACCGATACTTCAGAATAGTGTAGAGAAGTGTCATGCGCATACCTTACTTACATCACCTCCCGATTTAGGCGCACACCTTGACCCAAAATTGATAGAGCCGTTCGCTCACAAAGATATACGGGATCATGATGCTTTCAGGCCTGTCATATTCAAAGTCGAGCGCGATGACCATGCCACCTCGGGCGTCCTCAATTGGGTTCCTGTAAGCAAGACTGAGTGGGGTTGTGGCAGAGTCCACTATTGAGCGGCGTTGAACCCCGATTGGCAGCCATCGAACACCCAATCGAACACCCGCATGCATGTGCGTATGCATGTGTACGTACACATGTAGGAGTCCACGTGAAGTAAGAAGCCGAAACGTAGTGGGATGTCAAACTATAAAGGGTGTGGTTTAATTTAGCGGAAATGCAGAACGCTACACAGTTGCAACGCAGCGGCATGCAATATCTTTCAGCATAAACGAATGTTGCGTAGCGCAACGCAGTGTCTTTTGTTGCATCTGGTGAGGGCTTTGAGACGTCCTCGTGTCGGGGATGAGGAAGAGGGAATCATGAGCAGGAGAGGGAGGCAAGGAGTTGATGCCCGTCGGTCTATGCCCCCATTCACACCGCACTGGGCCACGGGTTGACCCCCCAGTCAGCCACTCCGGCGACGTGGCTCGGCACCTGGGCCGCGGCGATTTGGGACGCCACGCCGAAGCGCAGATCCTGCAGACCGTGTTGGCGAAGGCTCTGAGCAAGCTCGACCGGGCGAGGGGCCCCCCAGCGGGTGGCCTTCTTGCCAGGGGGACGTCGCGGTGCCGACGCTGCACCGCCTCCGCTGGCGGTTCCATGGCGCTGATCGCGTGCGCACCGACGAGGCCGCCGTGGTGGACCTCGCCCGCACGAGGGGAACGAAGAATGACATTCACATGAAAACTCGGAGGTCCGCGCGGACTGCTCGGATCGGCGCTGGACCCCCCTGGCGGCGCCTCCGGCGCCGCCCTTGGCGCGCTCCGCGCGCCAGGGAGGGGGGTCCAGCGCCGATCGGAGAAGTCCGCGCGGACCTCCGAGTTTTCATGTGAATGTCATTCTTCGTTTCCCTGCGCATGCCGCCCATGTAGGTCCGCCGCTTGGCCGAGCGCGCCGCCGTCAGGGAGTCCGACAGGATGGCGCTCTCCAAGACAGGTTCGGGGGCAGTGGCCTGGGAGCCGAGACCAGGGGCACCTGCCCTCCAGCCCCTCCCATTTTCTGGGAGGCACTGCAGCGGATCTTGAGGTCTCCCTCCACGGGCTGGCGCACACGTCAACAACGCGCACTGCGGGCTGCCTTATCCAACATTCTCTGGAACCAGGCGCGTCTGGCAGGGCACGGGCTGGTGGGCCATGGCTGCTGCCTTCGTTGCGACATGAAAGGCACCCTCTCTGGCACAGGTGCTACGAGTGCGACGCCTGGGCGGTCTTGCGCCGGGACCTCACGAGCCAGCGGCTGCAGGATTGCGCGCGCCGAGCCTGGGAGTGGAGCGAGGAGGCGGGTGAACGCTTCGCTCGAGGGATCATGCCCAGCCCCGCCCCGATGTTCTCGCGCGCGCAGCCTCAGGAGCTCGTGCGCTGGGTCCGCCGCCCTGTGGATGGGCTGCTCAAGGGGCGCCTCTTCACCGACGGCACCCCCGGTTCCATGGCGAGTTCCCGCATGTGGCTCGCGCTGCATGGGCCATCTGCTCAGTGGACTAGGACGACAGCCTCATTTCGGCAGCTTGCGGACCTTAGCCGTTCTGGGCGTCGCAGGAGCAGGGACCAAGGAGGCGGCAAAGTATTGCATCTTCTTGCTGTGCGAGCTCGCGATGCCCATCTTCTCCCTGCACATCGATTGCCAGGGCACGGTCGACTGCATAGCTGCTAGCCCGGCCCTGGCACGTGTCCGAGCTCCAGCGACGACCTACGGCTGCATTTGCGGGGGCGAGCGGGGGCGACTGTCCCTGCTCACGACTCCAGCGACGTCCACAAGGCGAAGGCGCACGCCACGGTCTCGGACGTGGATGCCGGGAGGATCTCGCCAGCAGGCAGGGATCGCCGATGTTGCGCGCCGACGCTTCACGGTCTCACCGAGGGCGACGTGAACGTATGGCGTGGGCCCCGCGTCATTGCGGAGGAGGCCGGACGCCGGAGTGGCCAGGCGCGCGCTGCAGCCGCGGACGCGCCGGCGCCCGACGCGGACCACGGCGTCCTGGAGGGGCCAAGAGGGGCGCGGAGTGGCGCAGCCCAGTGCGCTCGAGGCAGCCTGAAGCACCTCCCCGCTCAGGCCCCAGCGCCGTGCATGGGCGCAGGGCACTGGATGGTCAAAGCGACCGTCAAGCCAGCGCCCGAACGCAGTATTGTCTTTTGCTTCGAGTGTGGGGGGTGCCTCACAGGGGCCAGCCCGCGGAAAGTCCTGCAGGGGCCGTGCCTGGGAGTGCTCGCTGGCCGCGGACTTCAGGAACAGTTCCGCCGGGCGCCCAAACGAGAACACCCCCATTATATGGCCAACCGCAAACACTTCAGGAGAGGAAAAAACACACAGACACAATTCATCGGCGATTCCCCAGCAATATGGGAAGATATAGGAAGTGGGGGGGAAGACAGAAACCCAGAAAATATGGGAAAATATGGGGATTCCTGTTATTTGTGTGTATTTACTTGTGTGTCCCAGGGCCCCTTCAACACTGGACGCTCGAGGTGCCAACCGCGCCCTCGCACCAAGACGGCATTCGTCTCACGGCGCTTCGGGGGGACCAACGGCAAACCGGAGACCGAATCGTCCGCGGGGCCGCGGTCAAGCAGTGGCGAAGCGTCCCGGCTCGCCTATAGCCCCACCAAACAATGTTCGAAGACCTTTTTGCGGTTCCCACGAAATGTTCTTAGAACATGTCTGGCTGGGACTGTCTTGTTTTAGCACATCGGGTTTATGTTCTAAGATCATTGCTTTTGTTCTCAGAACCTGTTTGGGTTCTAACAACATTTCGTGGTATGACTATAGCTGGCCGGGACGGTCGGTCCCTGCTCAACGCGGGGGCAGAGGTCGCCCGCGGCCACAGTGCCAGCAGGCGCCGCCTCCCGCGCCAACCGCCCGCTCGAGACCACATTCTGTCCCGTTTCGGGCTGCGTCGGGAGGACGCAGACTGGGTTGCCGCGCTTGGGTCGGGCCGGACCAAAGGGGGGGAATTGGGAAAGGGGGGGTACGAAATCTGCTGCATGCAGCTGGTTTCGGCTCCGCCGCCGGGCCCATTCCTCGATACATGGGCGCCTCCCGGCGCCGGCAGGCGCCAGGAAAATCAGCTACGTGAGCTGATTCTCAAACCCCCCCTTTGCTATCCCCCCCTTTCGCCCGGCCCGATTGGGGCGCGCGGGCGCGAGGAGGGGATTTCTCCCACGTCGGGTGCAGAATCCGTGGGTTAAGGCTCTGACGAGGGAGTCTGTTGTGGCAGCTGTTGTTCTCCGGCCGTGGACGGCCCCGCCGAGGCGCATTCGCAGTAGTCCTCCGTTCGCTTGTCAAGTGGGTAGCCATTTCCCGGAATAGCCTCAACAGACCCACTTCCGAGGCCACTGTTCCACACACAGTGTTTTCGCTAAAGGTGTCCGTCCTTGGTGTCTAAGCCCCACGGAATCTTAAATGCACGCAGCGGGCAGGAAGTATTCCGCTGGAGCAATACTCGTAGAAGGTTTCTCTTGGGAGCCACACTCCCTAGTGCCCCTTGTGCAGTGTGAGGGCGATTCGAGCGGTGACGACGTCTCGAGCGGAAACCAGATTCCCGAGTGCATCCCAAGGAAGTGCGTCTCAAGCGGAGCCACAGCTGTCAGCACAGCGGAAAGGAGTCGCGGGCGGGCCTCGCAGTCCGTCGTGCAGCGCGAGGAAGCTCAGGTCGCGAGCCGGCGCGCGCCACATACTCGAGGGTGGGACGTCTCGAGCAGGAGCACCCTCCTCCGTCAGCTGCAGCCGCGGAGGCGGTATCGTGGCTTCGCCACTGGCACGAGAGATACATGGAGGAGGAGGAGGAGGAGGAGGAGGAGGAGGAGGAGGAGGAGGAGGAGGAGGAGGAGGAGGAGGAGGAGAAGGAGGAGAGGGAGGAGGAGGAGGAGAAGGGAGGAGGAGGAGGAGGAGGAGGAGGAGGCGGAGGAGGAGGAGGAGGAGGATGTGATGTATGATTACGCTGGGTCAGCATATGCTGTTGCGGAGCCGTCTGCGGTAACGGATAGCTCCCACGTGATCGGTGCGCGTGCCGGAGGGAGCCCGCGCGTGCCCTCGTTGCCCACCCCACCGTCCTCTCGCTTCCGGCAGTCTCCTGCGACCCAACGCCCATCCACCTCAGCAATGCCGCGCGGCGGTGGCCCGCCCGACCTGGCCCTGGCACGAAGCCGTTGTAGATGACGTTTTGCGGTGGGCACAACGTCCGATGTATGTGTGAAGTGGTCAATGGGTACAATGTGGCGATCCGCTGGGCACGGTCCGTTGTAGATAGTTCTGGTGCGGTGGGAACTGCTGGGCCCATATTTCAAACGACCTTGTGACACAACGATGCGGACCACATGTGCGCACTCGCACGCGCAACGCATCATCATCCCAAACCACTGGTGCTCTAGCAAGTTCAATACCGAAATCTTCTGGCACATAAGAAAACAAATGGTTGTTCAACAAAGTTCTGCAAAGCCTTGCCATTTTTTTTGCGCGCGAGCGTCAACGCCCATGACCGCCATCAGCGAGGTGTGCGCATCAGTTCATCAAGTTGATCGACGCGCGCTCATGAATAGTCAACTTCCACGGCCTTCACATGGGTTCGGCGAACATGGTAAGATCCCCAACGCGTCCTCACCGATCAGTGTTCCACTGCCTTTGGCATGGATATGAGGTTTGTGACGCGTTGTTTACGACAGGTGCCGAAAGGGGAATTTGTGATAGTGTGAGCGGGCGGGTACGATCGCTCACCGCACTCCCGGTTCGGCTCTTATCTAATACACATTCGCATAGTCTGCAAGTGTTACATATACTCTATGCTAGGATTGCTGGCTCTCCCTCATCCAAGCATATGTACTAGGGCCTATTATGTCAGCCTCTACCCCAATCCCTTTGCAGTTTGGTTTACCCGCCTCCATTCTACCCTCCCCACCTTCTATTATCCAGCTGCCTCTGACAATTCCGCCGCCGCGCCAACGCAGCATTCTAAGTGGCAACTGCTCGAGAAGGCAGCAGGGGTTTGCTGGGGGCTTCTTCGGGGCAGAAGGCTCGAATTCGGGGTTCATGTTGGCCCGTCTTGGGGCCGTCTTGGGTCCCCTTGGGCAGTCGTGGGCGCCTCCTTGGCAGTTCTGGAGCGCTCTGGGTCCGCCTCGGAGCTCTTCTTGGGGCCTCTGGAACCGTCTCGGGGGGAGTCTTTGGGGCCTCTTGGGCCGCGTTGGAGCGTCGGAAGCTCGAAGAGGCGAGATTCAACAACACATTGACAACGCTACGCGGAACCAATGGTGTTTGCATCTCGGGTCCTTGTCGGGAGTTGTTCGGGAGCCGTTTTGCCCCCCCCCTCCCCCCCGAGGCCTCATGAACTCTGTCGGGGCGGACGGCTCGAAGGATCGGTTCTTGTTAACCCTCGAGGGCATTTGAGCTTCGGGAGCGCGATACGATTGCATTTTGCGATTGGTTATTGCCTGGGGGAAGGGTGGCGATGCGCTCGGCGAAGTGCGACCAGGAGAGGGAAGGACCCCCCTCAGTAAATTACAGCAAACCGACCAGGCAGGCGTTGGTATTTCTGCACACGTCAACGTGCACAAGGCGGGGCTGCGGATTACGTTACTGTTTTTTGTATGTAGCGATGTCATTGTTCTCTATTCGATTTCATTCTAACATACGCCACCCTGCTGAGCTAGACTCGACGTTTGCGCATACTTTGATCCAATATGTTCAGCGTTCCTCTGTTCAACTCCGTTCGGTTACAGTATTCTTTGCTGCAGGCTCACGAAGGTACATTCGGGTGTACCGTAGTACGGTCTACTCTACATCGATATTCTATCAACGCCAGCGTTGTTCTGAAGCTGCATGGCATTCGTGCCTATCATACTCCAGCACGCAGATTGGGACGTCGAAAGTCTAGCCGAGTTTTATACCTGCGTTCGGGGAGACAGCTGCTTTAGTTTTGGGACACCGTGCTTGGTCCTGGTTGTAAGGCTCCGAGAGGGTTCTCAGGGGCGGGATTTCGCCCCCACGCGGCGCACGCGCGAGCGAGGCTGCCCAGGGCGCGAGGCGCAACCGAGACAATCGTGCGGGACAACGCGGTTTGGCACCGCGAGGACGCGGCCCTCGTGGCAAGCGCTCCCTGGCGGCGAAGACCCCGCACGCGAGGCCGTCGGCCACGTGGCGTCGCAGTGCGACGGTGGAGGAGGAGGAGGAGGAGGAGGAGGAGGAGGCGGAGGAGGAGGAGGAGGAGGAGGAGGGGGAGGGGGAGGAGGCCAGGGCGCGCGGCCGCGGCCCGCCACGCACGAAGCCGCACCTGGACGGCGCATCTGGCACAGCAGAAAGCTACGAACTCACAGATGCGCGGGGAAGCCGACTACGAACTCACAGATGCTTACCAGCCTGGAACATATCACTATCCCTATGCTGGGCACCTCCTCCTCCTCACGGTGACAATCTTAGGGATTCCCTTTTTTTTGAGGGCGAATCCCTAAGATTGTCATCGCCTTTCGGCGTGTCAATCTTAGGGATAGGGATACGTTCGAGGCTGGTGAGATGCGGGGAAACGGCCGCGGCCCGCCGCCCCGCCGAGATCCCGCGCCTGGCCTCCTCGGCGCGGTGGCAGCGGCCGCCAGCACGGAGCACCGCGCCGTGGCAGGGGGCCGGCGAGGGCCCCACCGGCCGCGCGCGAGGGCCCGCACGGGGAGAGCGCGGCTCGTGGGATTCCCCTCTTGCCGCCGTGGCGGTGCTCGGGCCTCGGGCCGCACTGCGTGCACGGTCCAGCCTCTGTGGAGGTGGTGGCGCAATGATTGTGGGCGTGTTTTGCACCACCACTCCCATAAGTTGGAGGGGGGTGGGAGTCGGAGGAGGAGGAGGAGGAGGAGGAACCCCTCCCCCTCCAACTCATAGTGGTGGCGGTGGAAAGCGGGCTCATCGGCGCAACGAAGAGGCAGCATGCTGCCAGACAGTTTCCAGAGGTCTGAGACACGTGGTCCAAAACACGTGTGGGATCAGGGTTCAAACGTTTTAA